GGGAGGGAGGGAGGGAGGGAAGGAGGGACTGTGGGGTCCTTGGAGCTCTCCGAGTTTGGTTGTTTTCTCGAAGACGTTTCATGACCAGAAGTAGTGACACCATCAGTGCTAGTGGCTGTGCCAGAGTGTCACACGCAGACCCCCGGCCATCACTCTCTCCAAGAGGCTTGGGCAGATCCTGCGCTGAGCAGCACATTGGAGCAGAGAGATCCCCCCCCCCTTCCAGGTTCAGGGTAGCTGGGCGAGGTAAAACCATCCCCGCACCGTCCCCCGGGGGGGAAGTGGGACCCCCTAACCAGGCCCCAGCAGGAGGAAGAGAGTGGAGTCCTTCTCCGACAGCCCAACACCCACGAAGGAAGAGGCAGCGGCTGGCAGGTCAGTCAAGGCTCAGGCTGGTTGTGTGAACCTGGCTCTCGTGTCCTGATGGGAGGCTGTGTGAACTGGCCCTACGACTGCATGAATTAAGCCCCCCCCCCTGGAGGGGGAGGGGTGTCTCCACAGATATTTACTCCTGCCACACCCAGAGCCCGAGGGCAGGCAGGGAGGGCGCCCTGGCCCAGGGGTCTCCAACCTCGGCAACCTTACGACTTGTGGGCTTCAACTCCCAGAATCCATCAAGTGGCCACGGTTGGAGACCCCTGCCCTGAAGCAGCCTTCTGCAGAGAGACACACCCCCTGCCCCTCCTCCGTTTGTCTCGGGATGAATCAGTTTCAATCCTGCCCCCGAGTTGACTACGGAGGGCAACGAGACAAACCACGGAGACCGTGGGCCCAATGGGGATTGCAAGGGGGGGGGGGAAACATCTACACAGGCTGCAGGGAAGCTCCACTGGGGGCGGCCCCTGTGCCCCCACTCCTGACAGGGGCAGGCTCCAGATTTGCTGCCAAGACAACCTGGGGGGAGGGGAGGTCCGTGTTGCTCCCCAAGTTCCTCCGGAGCTGCAGGGTTGGCACCCCCAGGGATCCCCCCTCCGTGGCCAGGTGGCCTTTCAACCCCCCCCCTCCCCTCCGTGGCCCCAGCTTCCATCTGACGGACCGGAAGGGGCCACCGCCTCCCCTTCCTCCCCAGCGTGAGAAGGGCTCAGCCAGTCCCACCTGCCCTGCAGAAGGTCCCCCAAAGCCCCCCATGGAAGTCTCCGGCCTGAAGCTTCCTCCCCTCGGCCCGACCCTCAGGAACCCCCGACCAGGCCTGGAAACAGGAAGGAGGGCGACATTCCGGAAAGTGCATCCTCCACTTCCGTTCTCTGCTACGGTAGAAGTCTCCAGCCGTGGTCACTGTGAGGCTGGTGGAATTCTGGGAGTGGAAGTCCAGCAGCCTTCAAAGGGGCCAGGGCTGGAGACCCCAACGTCCCCTCACTCAGGAAGAAGCAGGGCCCAACACCTGCCCCTTTTAGGGACATAGAAAATAAAATTTATTCTCCGTTCAGGTGTCTACACTGTAGTTGCGTCACTAACCACGACCCCCATGGCCAGAGTGCAGCTGACGGGACTCCACAACGCCCCCCCCCCCCCCCCAAGAGGAGAAGAAGCCTCTGCCGGGAACCAGAGTCTGCCTTGGGGCCCCTCCGAGGGCAGGAGGCGGGACAGCAGCAGCGGCCGGGACACGGGGCTCCTCCACATACTCAACAGAAACAAACGAAGAAAAGAATTCGGGATCCATGGGCGAGACCCTTCCGCCCGGCCACGCCTGGACGTCCTCCTGCCCGCCCCGGGCGTCGGTAGCGCCATGCAGAGGCGGGCAGGTGAGGAGAGGAGAGGAGGAGGAGGAGGAGGGCACGGCGGAGGCCTCGGCGGTGCTCAAAGCCGGAGGTGGCTTCCCGGTGGTCAGGGCTGAGCTCCGGCGGCCGCAGGGACGGGCGAGCCCAGCGCATTCGGAGAGGCGATGACGGGGGAGGCGGCCAAGCTGCCCATCGGCTGGGAGGCTGACATGGAGGCGATTCCTGCAGGGGGAGAAAAGGAAGGGAAAGGGAGGCCTGGAGGCGGAAACAGGGAGAAGAGAGGCCGGAATTGGGTATGGCCTGCCTGCAGAAAGGGAGGGTGATACGATGGCAGTGTTGAGGGGCTTCCCCAAAGGAGGGGGGGGGGGCTCTGCCTATTCTCCGAAGCGCCTGAAGGCAGAAGAAGCAACGGGTGGAACCCAATCAAGGAGACAACCGGCCTGGAACTGAGGAGGAATTTCCTGACAATGAGACCAATTAGCCAGCAGAACCCCTTGCCACCAGACGTTGTAGGCACTCCAACATTGGCGGTTTTCAAGAAGAGGCTGGACAGCCAACGGTCTCCTGCCTGAGCAGGGGGTTGGACTAGAAGACCTCCCAGGTCCCTTTGGCTCTGCTATTCTGTTATTCTATAATCCAGCTCAATTAATCAGTGGAACATCTTTCCACCACTGGAGGTTTTTAAGAAGAGCCTGGACAGCCACCTATCTGAAATAGTAGAGGGTCTCCTGCCTGAGCAGGGGGTTGGACTAGAAGACCTCCCAGGTCCCTTCCAGCTCTATTCTGACGAAGGAGGAAAGAAGGGGTGAAGGAGGCCGCCTGGGAAGCCAAGGTCTCATCCGTGCTCTCCCTGGATGAAGACCACGCAGGAGCCGAACCACCCGGGGCTACGGCCGGCATCCCCCACCCGGCCACACCCACGGCGCCTACCTGCCAACATGCTGGAGGAGCTGACAGGCGTGTTAGATGAGGAGAGGACGGTGGAGGCGGCCATCCTGGCAGGGTCCTTCACAATCGGATCTGTGCAGAGAGAGGGAGGGAGGGAGAAGTGGCGGTGAGGCAGGTGGAGGGATGGCTCCCTGGACCCCCTGCCTGCTCAGCACCCAGAAGGGGCAGCTGAGTCCGCGCAGGAGAACCTTGCAGGAGGGCAGCGCAAGGGGCAGCATGGGGGCGGGAGGGCAGCGGAGAGAGAGAAGGGCTGGCCAGAGGAGGCTCCCTTCCCCCCAAGAGGCCTCTGCAGGAGGGGGAGTCCATCCAAGGGTGGGCTTGAGGGGGAGCCCGGCTGAGGCTGCTACCCACAGAAGTAGGGGTGCTCCATGGCCTCGCGGGCCGTCAGCCGCGTCTGGTGGTCGTAGCGCAGGAGTTTGTCCAGGAAGTCCAGGGCCTCGGTGCTGACCAAGTGCTGGTTCTCGCTGTGCACGAAGCGCTCCCATCGCTTGCGGGAATGCCTGCGCCGGAGGGAGAGGGAGAGAGGTTCCCACGGGTGCCCTTCACACACACACACTCCGAGGCCCACCAAAGGGAGGGGTACCCGCGAGGGGTCCCCACTCACCCACCTGCCCAGGATGTCGTTGAAGCGGGGGTCCAGTTCCACGTTGTACTTGTCGATGTAGTCGTAGAGGTCCTCGGTGCCCAAGACCTTGGCAATCCGCACCAGCTGGGGAAGGAGCAGAGGGGGGGGGGTCACTTGGCCTCCGCCCTGGGGGGGCTTTTCCCAGAAGGCAACGGGATTTTCTGGTGTTTGTTTCCCTTGGGAACATTTTCCTCCTGACCCAGGAAGCCCCAGAACGTCTCCAGAACTGAAGCAGCTTCTTGGCCGAGAGGCAGAGCATTTTGTAAAAGAAGAGGAACCACGGAAGTCCAGCTGCCTTCTGGGAAAAGCCCCCCTGGAGGACGGAGAATCTGCGCGGCGACTCCAGCAGCCCCTCCCTCTGTGCACAGGGAGGACGGGGCTCCCATTCAAGCCCTCCCTCCCCCAAACTCCAACTCGAGTGGGAAGGAGGCAGGAGGGAGCAGGACGCCAGGGGCTACCGGGGCGAGGGGAGGGAGGGGGCCTCACCTGGTCGTAGTTGTCGTGCCCGTGGAAGAAAGGCTCCTTACGGAAGACCATGCTGGCCAGCATGCAGCCCAGGCTCCACATGTCCAGGCTGTAGTCGTACATCTGTCGGAGAGAGCAGGGCGAGGGGGGCCATGGGGCAGCGGCAGGACAGGCGCAGATCCAAAGGCCTCCCCCCCCCCTGACAGCAGCCCAGGCGGAGGACGAGGGGCCCTTCACCTTCACACACACACACACACACACACACAGAGTCCCTCTCTGGCGCCCCCTTCACCCTCCTCTCTGGACTCTGGGGCTCAACCTTTCCTCTCACCAGCCCTGCCAGGATGCCCTCCTTGCAAACAGGAGGGACAAGGGACCCCTCACCCTCCAGGCTTCGGACGGAAGGTCCTTCTGCCAGCAGAGAAGCTCCTCTCCTCAAGGGATTCAGGCCTCGAGGATCCTTCTTCACACAGAAGAGCAGCAGAGTGCGAAGGGACCTCAGAGGTCTTCTAGTCCAACCCCCTGCTCAAGCAGGAAACCCATACAGAATTACAGAGTTGGAAGGGACCTCAGAGGTCTTCTAGTCCAACCCCCTGCTCAAGCAGGAGGCCCTATGCCATCCCAGGCAAGTGGCTGCCCAGCCTCTGCTTGGAAACCTCCAACTTGTTCCAGGGGTTAATTGTTCTCCCTTTCAGGAGGTTTCTCCTTAATTCTCCTTTGCTTCTCTCCCTGATGAGTTTCCACCCGTTGCTTCCTCTCCTGCCTCCCTTCAGGGGCTTTGGAGAATCAGCTGACTCCCCCTTTTTGGGGGGCTGCCCATCAAGTATTGAAGGACTGCTATCATGCCCCCCCCCGCGTCCCTCTAGAGCAGTGTTTCTCAACCTTGGCAACTTGAAGATGTCCGGACTTCAACTCCCAGAATTCCCCAGCAGTGGTTAGGACAGTCTTTCTCAACCTTGTCAACTTGAAGATGTCCGGACTTCAACTTCCAGAATTCCCCAGCCAGCATTCGCTGGCTGGGGAATTCTGGGAGTTGGAGTCCGGACATCTTCAAGTTGCCAAGGTTGAGAAAGACTGCTCTAGACGGGCCATGCCCAGTTCCTGCAACCGTATCTTAGTCTCCAGGCCTTTCATCCTCTCGGCTGCTTCTCTCCGCACTCTTTCCAGAGCCTCAACATCTTCCTTATCATATCAGGATGCAGGATTCTACCTGTGACCTTCCCGGGGCATTATAAAGCGGTACCAGCACTTCCAGGGCACAGAGATGGTCCAGCGGCTCCAGGCCTTTCCCAGCCCACGGACGGACTGGGAGAATTGGGAGCGGGAGGCAGAAGGCGGAAGAGCAGAGCTAAGGCTGCCCCTCTCCCCCACCAGGCAGGGCGGCTCTCCTGATCCTTAAGGCTTTGCCCTCTGCTCGGGAAGGGGCACAATCCGCCCCGGTTCCTCCCCCCCCCCCCAGGCAGCCCCCGTTCCGAGGCGGCTGACTTACCTGGTAATCCACCAAAAGCTCCGGCCCCTTGAAGTAGCGGGAAGCCACCCTGACGTTGTACTCCTGTCCCGGGTGGTAGAATTCTGCCAGGCCCCAGTCGATCAGGCGCAGCTGCAGCAGCCGGTAGGATGGGGGGGGAGGATGAAAAATAAATAAATGAGCTTCTGAGCCCTGAATCAAACTGTCTCGGGAGGAAGAAGCCCACCCCCCCCTGTTCCTTTCTGAAGATCAGAGGAGACACGGAGGGGCATCTGGAAGCAGGCTTTGGGGGATCCAGGACTGGGAAGCCGGGAGCTAAATTGGCACCATTTGGGCTCACCCTGGGGGACAGACAAGCGAGGGAATGCTACGCACACACAGACACACACCCCACTGCAGATCAGGGGTCTCCAACCTTGGCCTCTTTAAGACTGGTGGACTTCAACTCCCAGAATTCTCCAGCCAGCATCCTGGGGCATTCTGGGAGTTGAAGTCCACCAGTCTTAAAGAGGCCACGGTTGAAGACCCCTGCTGTAGACCACCCAGAGGAGGGCTGGGCAGTCAGAAGATGCAGGAGCAGGCCGAGGGGTGAAGGTCTCGAGGCCACAGAGCCCCCAAGGAGCTTCCACAAGAGCTCAGCTGGAGAAGCAAAACGAAGAACAACCGGAAAGTCCAGGGGCTGCTTGGAAGGAGGAGGAGGAGGAGGGGGAGGAGGAGGAG